TATATATATATTTTTTTTTTTATTATTATGTATGTAAAATGTATTTTATTTAGATTTTGAGGGTGAATGTTTTTGTGACCTCTGACCTTAGTGATGGTGCCCACGGCCTTGGTCCTGCCCTCTCTGAAGACGAGTCTCTGGTCCGTGTGAAAGTACTCGGGGGTCTTGATGAAACGGAAGTGTACGGTGGCTTTGTCCCCGGTCCGTAAACAGTCTTTGTTCATACCGATGATGGTGGCCGTCTGTCTGATACTGCCACAGTGAACTAAGATAGAGAGAAACTCATGACAAAGTGCCAAATAGATACAATATCTATTTAGTTACAATTTCTGTTTAAATATTTAATTTTTTTTATACCCTTTCTTCAGTACAACAAAAGCATTGATATTAGAATCCAATATTGGAAGCACATTATATAAGGGTTAATTGCTCCCAAAATCAAACAGTGAATTCATTTCTTTGTGTATATTACATTTCATTAAGGTAAAACAGTGTAGATTTATACCATAATATTGGTTATAAACAATATTATAAAACATAAAATAAAAATTTTAAATATAGTAAACTGAAACAAAATTATCTGAGGGCCAGAGCGAGACCGAGGTGCTCTTTAGTCATGCCAATGATTCCTGCGTTACTTCCCACCTTTGCGACACAGAAAAAGACAGAATTCATAAAACGTTGAACCGCCGAGTACGTACACCTGTGGCACACCTACACCCTCTCACCATTAGCATGCAGAAATCCGGTAGGTGGCCAGTCATGCCAAATACGGTGGTCTTCAGGTACTTCTCGTGACCCGCCAAGTCGATGAAAGTGATGACCTTTGACGACCTCTCGCAGATTTTGGTCCAGTCCAGGCTGGCCCCATGGCTGTCCGGTTTGTTGACCACATGCCCTTCCTGGTCAAAACCCAGGATGTCATTGCCAACGCTGCTGGTCCGGCCGCTCTCCATCTCGTGTTTGTGGCGGAACAGCTTCTGGCGGGCGAATCCACGACCGTTGTCGAGTTCGCCGTGGGTTAGGACACCCAAAAGTGTGCTTTTACCAGCATCTACATTACCTACAACTGCAACTCTGAGGAAAGAAATGATTTTAAACAAAAATATACAATTTTTGTATATCATTTCTTTGCAAAACCTCTTCTAACCTTTCATATATTTTTTAATAGTTATTTTTAGATACATTTATTATATATATATTTAGGTACTTCTTTCTGGTTCTGTGTAAGAATTAATTGTGATATCAGGATTTATAAATAAGCAAAATTTTAAATAAATATTTTTAAAAATGTTTATGCTTAATATAGATTACAAAAAATAATCTTAATTAAGTTTTATCATAATAAACAAATATTCAGTCTACTATTTATTTTGAATCTTTTGATGAAATATTTAAAACTGTATAAAAATGTTAAGTATTTAATATCATGAGTAACAAAAATGCAGTCAAATATTTAACATTTGTCTCTTCTGCTCACCCATAGCTTGGTATCTTGGCGATATCGTCGTTGGATGGTGTAGTACGAGAATCTCTGCCTCAAACTCCCAGCATGCCTGTGGGTTGAGGCGTGGTGACACCATCACCATTCCCTTTCTGATCGATGAGCGCTTGATCTTCTTCAAGGCGAACGAGGCCGTCTGCCCACCGCGCACTTCTTTAACAGGCATGCGCTTGCGGTGAATAGATTTGACGGTGATGGGGATGAAAACGCCCAGAGGATCTGGACCGAGGAGCAGCGTGTCGTTCAGCCGTATTAATCCACGTAAAGTAGTCCCTGATACTACAGTACCTACACCCTGAAGAACATGCGAGAAGTTCAAACGATTGAGAAAGAGGTAGACAGAAGTACAAAGACAGTGTGTGTTGTACCGGCACTGAATATGTGTCATCAATCTGAAACTCTGGCAGCTCGTCGTCTTTAAATGTGACGACCTCTCGCAGATTTTGGTCCAGTCCAGGCTGGCCCCATGGCTGTCCGGTTTGTTGACCACATGCCCTTCCTGGTCAAACCCCAGGATGTCATTGCCAACGCTGCTGGTCCGGCCGCTCTCCATCTCGTGTTTGTGGCGGAACAGCTTCTGGCGGGCGAATCCACGACCGTTGTCGAGTTCGCCGTGGGTTAGGACACCCAAAAGTGTGCTTTTACCAGCATCTACATTACCTACAACTGCAACTCTGAGGAAAGAAATGATTTTAAACAAAAATATACAATTTTTGTATATCATTTCTTTGCAAAACCTCTTCTAACCTGACTTCCAGGAAGTCGGCCTCTCCCATGCGGCGCCGGATGAGATAATCGCGGACACATCCTGCCGTCTCTGTCCTCTCTCTCAGCAGAATCAGGTCGCCGTCAACCTGTTCACAAAGTGACTGCACTGTAGCGACAGATGCTTCCATATCCCACTCATCCAGACCATAATCACCGCCGTCTGAGAGACAGAGACACCAAGAATTGATCAGCACTTCTAAATAGGACGCCCAGAGGATCTGGACCGAGGAGCAGCGTGTCGTTCAGCCGTATTAATCCACGTAAAGTAGTCCCTGATACTACAGTACCTACACCCTGAAGAACATGCGAGAAGTTCAAACGATTGAGAAAGAGGTAGACAGAAGTACAAAGACAGTGTGTGTTGTACCGGCACTGAATATGTGTCATCAATCTGAAACTCTGGCAGCTCGTCGTCTTTAAATGTCGTTCTGGGAGACAGCAGGTTCAGGAACATTTTCAACAAGTCCATGTTTTCACCCGTCACATTCGAGATCTGGAAAACTGGACACATCCTACACACACAAATAATGCTTTGGTTTAATATGCTCTCATCATTTCAGATGATATTAATATATAATAAATAATAATTATATAAATAATAAATAATAATATATAATAAGTAATGTTGACGCTTTATAAAGATTTGTTGGGCAAAAAAGCATCTTGATTTCCAACGTTTTTTCATGTAAACAATTTAATTGTTTACATGAAACTCTAAACACAAGAGTGACTAAAAACTCAACTTTTACAGTTTTTGTGATTGTTAAGATGTTTTATGGCATTCTAGGCCAAAAAAATTGAGTGGCCTAAGTCAAAAAGGTGCGAGGCTCACCCTAAGTGTAAGTTTATGGGGTTTGTACAGTATGGTAAGGGGCGTAACATTTCCGTCACACGCTTGAGGTATTCGGCCAATCACAATGCACTGGATAGCTGGCCAATCAGAGCACACCTCGCTTAGTTCGCCGTGGGTTAGGACACCCAAAAGTGTGCTTTTACCAGCATCTACATTACCTACAACTGCAACTCTGAGGAAAGAAATGATTTTAAACAAAAATATACAATTTTTGTATATCATTTCTTTGCAAAACCTCTTCTAACCTGACTTCCAGGAAGTCGGCCTCTCCCATGCGGCGCCGGATGAGATAATCGCGGACACATCCTCCCGTCTCTGTCCTCTCTCTCAGCAGAATCAGGTCGCCGTCAACCTGTTCACAAAGTGACTGCACTGTAGCGACAGATGCTTCCATATCCCACTCATCCAGACCATAATCACCGCCGTCTGAGAGACAGAGACACCAAGAATTAATCAGCACTTCTAAATAGGACATTTCTGTCTGGGATAGTCAAAATCATTTTCTGAAATGAACGCAAAAAGGCTTGAAAATAAAATAATAAATATGACAGATGGGCAATACAATCTGGTTAAACCGACCCATATCAACACAACCTTTGACCCTAGAGGTCACAGGGTCACTGTTGCATGGACTTGCAAAAAGACAATAAAGGACAATGGTTTCTTTTTCTGGTGCAACATGTTTGTCTATTCAATAAAAATGTTCAAACTTGGCGAAAGCTTTGTGACACATCACGTCTCACCTGTTCCCTTCCCAACCACATAGATGGTTTCTCCGCATCCTTCCTCTATTCGTTCTCGCAGCTGCTTTTGTAAACAGTCATACTGCTCTCCTGTAGGGCTGACCAGTGCAAACTGACAGGAATTAACAAAAATAATCAAAGTATTATTAAAGGAAATTATAGAAGAAAAACAAGATGTTTTTTGAGCATGTATTTTAATATATTACAGTGCCAAAATTTTGGTATGCATGCCACATATTTAATATACAGCAGAGTTCTTCAAATCTTACCCTGGAGGGCCAATGTGCTGTAGAGTTTAGCTCCACCCCTGATCAAACTCACCTACCTGTGATTTTCTAATGATCCTGAAGACATTGAACAGCATGATCAGGTGTGTTTGATTAGGGTTAGAGCAAAACTGTGCAGGAAAGTGGAACCTGTGGGCCAGATTTGAGGATCCCTGCTATAGTGACCCCAAAACGTATTTGGACACTTAAGCAAAACTGTATGAATTCCATTAAACTGGATTACAAAATATTAAATCTATTTTATTTTTTAATGACACCACAAGCACACTTTTCAAACCTTATTTTTTTAATACAAAAAGTTTAAGTCTATTTAAGTAAAATAAATTTCACTGACAGCAGGCTATGACTAACTTTTTAATTACCAAAATATTGGAATGCATTCCACACACACACATATATATATATATATATGCATACAGTGAAATGTATTTGAATTTTTTTATATATAAGTAGTTTGGTAGGTTTTAAGTTATTCAAATGAAAATTTAAATACATTTCACTGTATGCATATATATATATGCATACAGTGAAATGTATTTAAATTTTCATTTGAATAACTTAAAACCTACCAAACTACTTATATATAAAAAAATTCAAATACATTTCACTGTATGCATATATATATATATATATGTGTGTGTGTGGAATGCATTCCAATATTTTGGTAATTAAACAGTTAGTCATAGCCTGC